CCCCGGCATTTTTGCAGTAGCGCCGATGTTGAGCTCCGCGCGCATCTTGTCGAATCAGGCTTCGCGAGGCGCGCAGCTGGTCTGTCGACTGCCGGCGCGTAGAAGAGCAGCTGGCCAGCATCGTGCGCATCAAGCTTGGCCTGCGCATGCATGGCGTAAGAGACGATGCGCCACTCATATGCCGACTCGTACCAGCCTCGGGCTGCGCGCAACCGGTGGCCCCAATGGGGTTGCTGAGCAGCTTCGCTGGTGCTGGCGGCAGGCTGACCAGCACCGCTGGAGCTAACGATCTCTGTTTTGAGGACCGCTTGCCAGCTCTCGCGCCGCCTGGAGTCCTCATGGCGTGAAGGGCCTCGACCTGCAGCGGGTCTGTAAATCGCTGCATCTGCACGAAGTCGACGACGAACTCGAAGTCGGCGAGCAACTTCCGAGCCTATTGGTGCTCGTAGGACTGGCCCGTGTCAGGCGCCAGCAGGGAGGCGCTGGCGGGGACCGGCGGTAACTGGTAGAAGTCCCCGCAGAGGATCTTCGCCGGCATGCGCCCGCACGTCTCCTGCGGGAGCATGTACTTGGTAGAATCGAGGTTGTAGCGCAGCGCCCTGCCGTAGGTCGCGCGCAGTGCATCCGCGCGCAGCAAGGGCCCCGGCACAGCACCCAGCTCATCGATCACGTCGACGCCGAGTGTGCCTGTGAGGCGGTCGAGCTTTTTCTGCGTCTGCGAAATCAAGCGCAGCCTGGCGGTCTGCAGGGAGTCCGACATGAGGATGCCGTTGGAGGAGTGCAGCGCCCTCCCGCGCGGGCCGAGGTTGTGGGCCGCGTGGTTGGGCTGTGCTTTGGCGAGGTAGCCGTGCTCGCCGAAGTAGATGATGGCCATAAGCTCCACCACTCTGGAGAGGGTGCGTGTCTTGCCGACGCCGCCTCCTCCGAGCCAGATTGCTCTGTGGTTGCCCGTCGCGGACACCACGGGGAGCAGATGCGTTGTCTTGTCTGGCCTGCCGTCAAAACGTTTCTGCAAGGACAGCGCGAACAACGCCGCCGCGTCAATCTGCTCCTCCGCGCACTCTGCATCAGTGACCAGCTTCCACGCAACAGCCGCCGGGCCCTGCATGGCCAAGAGCTGCGGCACGAGCTCCGGCTGCGCGTCCTCAGCAGCAGGCTGAGGAGCACCACTGGGTTGCCAGTCGCCCCCAACATCGGGCAAGGTCTCTTCATCCAGACTCGCTTGCTTCTTCTGGAGCGCAATGCTCTGCCGCTGCAGGGCCAGCATGTCAGAGAAGCTGTCGTCCAGCCGCGTGCCCAGATGCCCCCGCGCGCCGCTGCTGGCTGGCTGCGCAAAGCTCGCCTGCAGCATGCCGCCGTATGCTCGGCCCAGGTTCTTCAGCTGCTTATCCGCGCAGCTGAGGCGGCTCTTCTGGTTCAAGCGCTGCAGTTGGTCTTGCTGCAGAGCCAGCTCGGTTGCTCTGGTGTGGTCCCGCAGCGGCAACATGGAGATCTCGGTAATTTCGGCGTCCTCAACTTCCTCCTCTACGTCGCGGCCACCGCCTCCGCCCACGTCAACGAGCTCCAGCGGGACCCGGCCCTTGGGCCCTTCGGCATCGCTCGCGGAGTCCTCCTCCGCCTCCAGGTGCGCAGCCGCTGCCGGCCGAGGCTTAACCCGCGCCTCCGCCGCGAGGTCCACGTGCGCCAGCACGTCTCGCGCCGCGCACGCGCAGAACTCCGCCAAGGTGCACTGCTCCTCGCGCCATCGGCAGTGGCGGTTACTGAAGGCGAGACGCGCTGGGCCGCCTCCACAGGCATACGCCGCGCCAGCTGGGCTCCTGCGGAGTTCGCTAGGCTGAAGAGCACCAGCTCGCCCTCCGAGGTTCGCCCGGGGTTCTTCCAGCTCGGAGAAGAGGGTCGCGTCCGCGAGCACGAGCCTCTTGCGGGCCAGGCGGCACCTGGAGTCCGCGCGCGCCGCCAGCACGTGGATCTCCGCGCGCCGAAGTCGCCGCGCCCGCTCGAACGAGTGTGGGCGCGCGGCAGGGCAGTCGCAATTCTTCAACATATGGCTGCACTGGGTAACGCTGCCACAAGTGAGGGGGCCCTCGCACGCCCAAGGCGCGAAGAGGAGGGCCTTGAAGAGCGAGTTCTGCTCTGGGTCCTGTGCCCAGGTCGGGCACTGGGAGCCGTCGATGGTGGGGGCGTCCATCCGCGTCAATTGGACCTCCTGCGCGTACCGCGGAGCCATGACGTAATGGTTCTCGAAGACGAAGAATCTCGGCCAGAAGCTTTCACCCGGCTCGGCTTCAGGACTCGGCGGACGTACATCATGTAGATGTAGTACGGCATGGTCTGCAGGCGAGGGCCCCTGTGGGCGTAGTCGTCGGCCGTGTTCGCGCTGGTGGTGCACGCCTGCGTATCCTCGCACTCCGCACCGCCAGCCTGCTCATCACCAGCAGGGGTCTCTCCAGGAGGCTGAGGGGCACCGCTGGTCCCATCTGCGGAATGCTCTTCCTCGTCCTCGGCGACTGGGATCTGGATGCGGACTGCCTGTATTGGCACCTGTTCATTCTGCTGCATCTCGCCCGCACCTTCGTGGTTCAGCAAGCGTTTGCACTGCTGGCAGGCCCGCTGCAGCTGTCTCGTGAAGAGGCGCACGTTGTGGCGCGACTGGAGGCAATCGCCGCCTGTGAGGATGTGCAGCGCCACCTCCGTCGTGGAGAGCCAGAAGCACCGGTTCGCCATCGAGGCCAGCCGGATACAGACTCGCCGAGCGCGGCGAGCGAGGTGCTCGGTCGTCCGGCGCCGCTCGGCCAGCGTCTGGTCCTCGCCATCAGCGCCGCCCTCACTGAGCACCTTGCGGGCCTCCTCCTCCTGCTCCTCCTTCTCCTGCTGTTCCAGACGCTGCATGCCGCCGAGCATGGACTGGAAGACCGGCGTCATGGATTCCATCATCTTGCCTTGGCACTTGGCGATGTGGAAGTCCAGGGAGAAAGCCTCCTGGAAAACCGCTTGGAAGCTCTCCACGACCGCCGCATCTTGTGGCTGCAAGGAGCCACAGCCGTAGAGCCACTTTCTGCCGCCGCTGCGCACTGCGTTTGCCCGGCCTGGGTTCTTCTTCGTGGCCGTCTTCTTGGTGGGCCTCCTGCGTTTGGCCGGCTGAACAGGGGCGGGCGCAGGCGGCTCTTCCTGGGCAGGCTGAGCAGCACCCAGCCTGAGGCACTTCTGCTGCATCGGCGGTCTCGTCTGGCGCACACATCAAGAACTGGAAATCCACGTTGCAAGGGCTGGTGACCTGAGAGACGTTGTTGCTGGAGCTCCTGAACGGCTGGTCGCGTTTTACCTGGCAGCGGCACCGCTGGTTGCGGTCATCTGAGAAGTCGATGAACGGAGTCCGGACCAAAGGCTTGCCGCGCCGACGCACTCGCTTGGCGCGGCCTGCCAGACATAGCTGCTGGGCGCGGAAGAACCAGAAGCGGCACGACGGGGCCCTGTTCGAGCGCAGACTCTGTTTGGCCTCGAGCTTCTTCTTGACGTACTTGACGCGCGTCTCGGTGCAGTCGTGCACGTGGTTGGAGCAGATGTTGCAAAAGAAGTCATGGCTAAACGCTGCGGCCCACGCCTCCGCATCTGCGTGAATCTCCTCGACCGAAGCTGGCGAGCCATCGGGCTTGAGGACTCCCACAATCGCTCCATCCTCGTTCATCTGGAAGAGGCCAGCATGGCTGGCTGGCATGGCAGGCTGAGGAGCGCCACCAAGCTGCCCGAAACTGGTTCGCTGGCGGTAGCTTGGAAACGTGGACTGGAAGGCCCCTGTGAGCGGAAGGCCCCGGTACGCTGCAGCGCCGACTGCAGGCATCCGGTTCTCTGCGGCCGCCCGAGCGCGCTCCTCCACAAGGTACGGCTGCTCCACTGGCGTGCCGAGCGCTACCTGCTCGCGCAGGGCGCCGTCCTCCTCTTCGCCTCCGTCCATGCGGCTCTGGCGCTACTGCCTGGCAGTGAAAGGCTCTGGCGCGACGTCGGGAAGGCCCAGCTGCCGTGCGGGCTCGTCGGCAGCTTCGTACTGCACGGTCACCGCAGTGGAAAGAAGCGCAGTTCGCAGGCCATGAGCGGCGGTGCGCAGCCCTCGGACCACAGCTGACCGCAGCCACGCCATCGTAGGCCCGATGACGCTGTGGCCTTTGCCGTGGCCATGTGCGAAGCCCCGGCCCTGTGTCTCGAAGGGCGCCTGCACGTCAGTGGTGCCTGGTGCCACGCACGGCTGCAGAGACGCTGCCACCTCGTCCTCCGTTGAGAGCGCCTGTTGAGCTAGCGGTGTGCGGCCAACATGCAAGCGCTCCAAGCCGATGATGTAGCGGTAGTGGAGCTCGGTCATCAGCAGGAAGAGCTTGGCCTACGCCCGCGGGTCTGCTGCCGCAATCTGGTGCATCCGCTCTAGACAAGGCATGGTCGGCGCAGGACTCTGCAGGTCGCGGCCGACAGGCTGAGAAGCACCGTAAGCCCTGGCAACCGCGCCGCCGTGGAGGTCCAAGTGGCTCCGCTTTCCGGGCTCTTCGTGAAGCTGGAGGACCAACGGGCTGTACGTGTCTGCGAAGTTCGGCGTGACGAAGAAGCTGGCCGCGCCGAACTCGAGGTTGTTGCCGTGCCCGTTGAAGCGGAGTGCGGTTTTCCGCCCCTCGGTGCCAGGCACATCGGAAGTGCTGAGTAGCAACGTCCTGAGGGCAGTCATGACCTGTGCAGGCATACCGGGGCGCGAAATGGCGGAGCCGATGCAGTCGCCCGGCTTGGCGATGTTCAGCGCCTGCATGAAATCCTCCGCCGACGCCTCTGCCAGGATCTGGAGGTCGGTGTCGAAGCCTTTCCTGCCAATCGCCGCCCGGGTGCCCTTCAAGAGCCGCAGCCGGCGGATCACGTCGACGAGAGCCGCAGACTGCGCTCCCGCATACTCCTGCGGCCTCAGCCTGCATCAGCCTCAGCCTGCATCAGCCTCTGCCTCAGCCTCAGCCTCAGCCTGCCTCAGCCTCAGCCGCACCTCCGATGGCGCCGAGGTGGCTCCCGTGCACGGAACTCACCTCCGATGGCGCCGAGGTGGCTCCCGTGCGTACCTGCGCGCACGGAACGCTTCTCCGATGGCGCCGAGGTGGCTCCCGTGCGTACCTGCACGCACGGAACGCACCTCCGATGGTGCCGAGGTGGCTCCCGTGCGTGCCTGCACGCACGGAACGCACCTCCGATGGCGCCGAGGTGGCTCCCGTGCGTACCTGCACGCACGGAATGAGCTCCGCCGGATTCTCCCAGTTTCTGCCGGCTTCTGCCCGGACCCCGGCTTCCGCCCGGACCCCCCTGGAGTGTCATGATGCTCTCTTTTGACCCTACTAGAAACCTATCAGCACAAGCTGTTGCGTAAAAATGCGAGGAAGTCTCGGGCGGGAGCGGGGGTCCTGGCTAAATTGCAAGGAAATCTTAAGCGGAAGCCGTTGTTGTTGTAACCCGGGGGCCAGGGGCCCAGTTTGAGCAGGAAGACTTTCCCTGTCAAAAAACAGGCTGCGAGCGTCGAGGGGCACACTTTGATTGAGAAAAAACAATATGCACCGGTGGGGGGGATCAACAATAATTATTCTTCAGAAAGGAGAATTCAACAGCAGCAGCAGCAGCAGCAGCAGCAACAACGACAACAACAACAACAACAACAACAACAACGACGACGACAGCAGCAGCAACAACAACAACAACAATAAAAACAACACCACCACCACCACCACCACCAACAACAACAACAACAACAACGACGACGACAACAACAGCAACAACAACAACAACAACAACAGCAACAGCAACAACAACAATAACAAAACAAAACAAACGTAAACCGCAAGCACCAACATTCGGAGGCCCGCGCGGACTTCTCAGGTCGTCCTTGGGCCCCCATGCCCCCGTGCGCGGCGCGCTGTGCGCACCAAGTGCGGCACCGCCAGGGACCGCCACGGCGGGGGGGTCCTAGCGCTGATCCGAGAGATCCGCGCGGACCTCCGAGAGCTTATGTCTGTGCCGTTTTCTTCCTCGAGGGGATGTGGATACAATTGTAGAGGGCAGAAAAAAAAACACTCTCCTGATGAACACCCCTGCAAGCGAAGCCCTTTATCAAACGCACCTCACCGGGGGCAGGGAATCGAACAGGGCAGGACCGTTCAGCAAACGCTCAGGACTGTCCAGCAAAGGCCACTTACCGAGGTCGGTGGAGGAACAAAAAGATACCGATGCCGCCGCTCGCCAGGCGTCTCGCACGGTGTGTCCTGACCCAGATTTTGAGGCGAATCCAGCCGTGGCAGCGGGTATAGCGGTATCGTTATCTGCTCCTCTTCTGAGCCGGGGCGGTTTTCGACTACGTACCCCCTGGATGCAGGGACACGGGGGGCTAGTGCACATGCTGCCAGGGGGGCAGTCCTCGCCACCAAGCAACAGGTTGGAGCCTTCGCGACCCACGGCCAGGCGCCGCACCCCAGGATCAAACGACATCGAATTTCGACTCTGGATCGGATGGGAACGAAGAGTCGGAATCGAATCGAAGCGGCTGCGCCTGGACACACAACCGCACCGTGCAAGTGTGGGGCCGCATCGGATGGCCAGGAGATCGGCATCTTGTCGGATCGAGCAGAGTGAACTCGACATGGAATCGGATCGATCTAGTTCAAGTGGGCCCTGCATTCCTCCCCTCGCACCTCCGACGCAGCCCCAAAGCGCAACCAAGCCGACCACTCCCTGTCACCCCAAGCCGACGCGCACCTCGGATACTTTTGGTTCCTGCTGCAGTGGCCTATTCCAATGGCGGCGGCGGAATCCAAGCTCAATGCTCCCGCGGGGGTGCAAAGTTGAATCGAATGGCACGGTGCCGAAGTACACTGCCAAAATACACAGCCGTTCAAGCCCGTCTCGATGCGGGGCAAGACGCGCCTACAAGACACGCCCGCATTTCAAAAAGCAGCGAGAAGGCTGGCCTGTGTGCGTGCACGGTGGCGCAGGTATGATTCCATCACACATGCGACCGCGTGCGCTACTTGCGCGTGACAAGCACTGCCGGTGGAGGCGGTACCTGCCAGGCTACGGTGTCCAGAGCACGCCACTTTCAGGCCGCGCAGCTCGACAATTACGGAGAGCAGCGCCTGCCTTCAAACACGGCGCGCGCTGCCTGTCTAGCCAGGCAGCCCCTCGCAGCACCGGGGGGATCGACCCAGACCTCCGGCGTCGTGCTTTTCTCCATGCGAGGCCCCCGGAGTACCCGGCCTCTTCCCAAGCACCGGGGCCCTCAGCCTGGACTGCTTTTGCTGACGGCCCCGGGGACGAAGAGCAGTCCCCCTGAGGCCGAAAGTAGCTGAAAACCTCTGTCGCGATTCGGGCCTCAAGGCGTCAGAAGTCGGAAGTCTGGGGATCATCGCTCGCGTGGCAAAGAACTAGCTCGAAGGCGCAGCTTTTGTAGCCGTGACAAGCCAGATTGGATCTCCGTGCTGAGGGCTCGCGTCCGCGCTGCTCAAGTCCTCCCAGCCACCCTTTGGCCCATGCTGGAAATACCTGCCAACGATGTGCGCGTGCCCCTCTCCGTCGTAGGTCTCCTCGGCCCAAGCCCGCACGCACTTCTCGAGGAAACAGCGGTGCGAGAAGGCCACGAGGGCCATCCCTCCTGTGACCAGAATGGAAGGGCCCAGAGGATCGAAAACCTCCAAAAAGAAGCTTCGCTCTCCACTCTGGAGGCCCCCACCCGATTCTGGAGGTCCTTTCCTGTCAAAAAGACATCCAGAATGGAATTTGTCGATCCTCTGGGTCGTCCTGGAGAACCGGATCCTGGGCCCCACGGATCCCCCGGGACCAACCTTTCATGCTGAGTTGTTTTTTGACGGTCCCAGGGTGCTACCGATAGTTGTGAAAGACCTTACGGCCCCTTTCCCTAATGCACCCCGTTATTTTCATTGTTATCCTGGCTTCATGACGCGGTGAACCTCGCCGAAGACAGCGCGAGGGTCCGTGAGATACTGAACACTCAACGCCAGCGTCACAAAGTCAAAGGTGTCGTCCTCCCATGGAAGCCTCGCGTCGGCGTTCAAGTCCTGAACATGCCGCTCGGTGGCCTTAGGATGGAAGGTGGGGCGGCAAAAACATGCAAAATTGCACCGATACTTGACGCTACTCTTCCCATACCTCACCCGGCGTGCATTATGATCAGAGGCGAATCCAACCGTGGCGACAGGGGCTATCCAGGACTCCCAGAAACTCGAAAACGGGAGGCGGGGGAGTGGGACGTGGTGATTATCCGCCTGGCGGGCTTACGTTGCGATGACGCCCACTTTGGGTTCCCTGACACCGCATGGATCCTCCAGCCTTGAGCAATCGTGACTTTCTGAGAGCACCGATCGTTCGATACTGGCAGATTCTGGGCCACTGGCGGTGTTTAACCTTGAGCGCCACGCTGGGGTCGCCGCTGCGTCAACGCAGCGCGAACCCACCGTGTCTTTTCTTCATCTGATCTCATCATGTGCCTGCTTATTCTTCGCGAGCTCCGCCTCGTTCAGGCCGTGCACCTTGCGGGCGGGAAACATAGCCATACCCATGGCCTCGCAGTCCGACCCCCTGGCCGCGATCCCGTGGATACAGAGCGGCCCTGCGCGGGAGCCCCGCGCGGAACGCGTGCATAGGATCGCGCCGCGGCATCCAGACCGCGAGTAGGAGAGCGCCAACTACACAATTACACCGATCCTGGCCAGGCCTGTGCTGGACCCAGCATCGGTGAAGACACCCCCGCGGCTCGGGCAGGAAGGCATGCACACCGACCCTGGGCCCAAGATGGGCCTGGCCAGGATCTGTGCGGGTGTATACGGTCGGGAACTCTTGCTCAGCCCGTCGCTGCGGCGGCCCCGGCGACACGCCCGCCTTGCAACCTGAGAGCGTGTCGCTCCACTCCGCGGGGCTGGGCGATGGGAACCACTCGGGGCGCTGATGTCCGGGGGCTGGGACGTGGTCAACGTGTCGCGCCGAGGCGTGGTGGGCCAGAACCGGCAGCGCGACGTGCTGAGCGCAAGTTCTTGACCGTGGTGGGTGCTCCCCGAGCGGGTGCATGGACACGGAAGTGTCCGTCGCTCGTGCGCACCGCCACGCGGGCGTCCTCCAGCAGCTCCTGCGGGTAGTGCGACGTCCACGAGGAGCACAGGTCCAAGGCCGCGAAGCCGCGCGGGGCGGACCGGAAGGCGCTCCGGTAGACCTCGGTCAGCCTGCTGCAGGAAAGCAGTGGAAAACATAAGACGCAGGCATAATAAAGCGGCAGGAGAAAAGCCTCTAGAGCGGAGGTCGTTGGAGGCCTTCGGTCCTCTGCGGAGGACCTGGGAGGATCGGGGGGGATCGAAACTTTGGGTCGTTTGTGGCACTTTCTGAAACCTTTGGAGGTCACGGGGGCCTCTACAATGCAAGACGAAGGCAGGATGAGGGCAACTTCGGATGATAATTCTTCACGCTTCGCGTATCCCCACCAGCCGTAGCCCCCTGGCTCAAGCCGTCTGGTGGGCCTGCCCTCTCCGGGGCAGTCTCCCGCCGCTCAAGGGGGCGCCCAGACGCTGCGTCGTGGGCCCGCGGCCCTGGATCCCCACCGGCCCCTGGGCGCGCCGGCCATTGCTGCTCCCTTGCCGCCGCGCAGACGGGCTCAGCGGCCCTCGGCTCAGATCGGATCAGGGCCGCCGCCCCATGGATGACCGAGCGATCGATCGACGATAATCCTGTCATCCCTGTGGGGGCGAGGGCCGCATCACCTGACATCGGCCTCGGGACCTGTGGACTGAATGACTCAGGACATGCTCGCCCTGGATCTCAGGACACCATCCCGCCGGGACAACCTTCGCCCCCTGCTCCCTGGAATGGGAGCGCTTCAGCCGATGCTTCGTGTACACGAGGACCGATGGCCCCCAACCAATCGGAGGGAGGGGTTGACTCCCTCAACCCTGTGATGCACACCGAAGTTGCGACCTTCCGTCGCTACCCTGGAGTCGAGATCGGCGGACGCGCAGTGGTAGACGGGGTTGATTCGTTCAGCCCTCTTCTTCAAACTGACAGCGCGACCTTCCGTCGCCACCCTGGATTTAATAATGGCAGGCATGAGGCCCTCCCGCCTAGCTACCCTCCTCTTACCCCCACTCTTCCTATGCCCACTGCTGGGCGCCCAATTTACTTTTCTCCAGGCAGCGCTGGGCACAACGGGACCGCCCATGGCGAGACTAGGTTTACGGGGGCCAACGGCCCCACTCCTGAAGCAGCTTATCCCCCCACGGATTCTGTTCCTTTCAGACGGTTCGGCGACGAGCAGAGAGGTGCCCTCGGCTCCCGACGCAGGGACCTCGGCGGCGTGGAAGGGGAGAGCATGGACCCGACACCCCCAGCAGGCGCCCACGAAGGCGAAGTGGGGGGAGATGGGCAGTCGCGACGCCCTGGCCCCGTCGCGCATCTTATAGGCTTTTACCCTCACTCCGCCGCGCCCCCCTCTCTGGATGCGGCTGCACCGAGCGAAGCTGCTCTCCGCAGCGCTTTGAGCATAAAAGACGGGCCCTCAGGGTATGGCGCGCACATCGACGCTGATGCCGCACAAGGCCACCCTCAGGGACCTGAGAGCGGCAGGCGCAGCATCGGAGGAGGGGGTAACGCGTCCATCCCCACAATTTACACAGATCTTGCGACCTTCCGTCGCTACCCTGGAACGGACTGCGACGGGCAGAGGAACGCCCGCGGTGTTCAGCCCAGGGAACGGTGTGAATGGGAAGAATGCATCAGAGAGCTAACCCCCATGGGGAGTGGTCGTGAGAGCGTTGGCAGAATGCACTCCGACGCTGCGACCTTCCGTCGCTCCCCTGGACGCGATGACCGTGGGCGCGAAGCCCTCCTGTCTAACCCAACCGCCTCTCTCACCCCTACCGCTCCCATGCCCACTGCGGGACGCCCAATTTCCTTCTCTCCAGGCGCTGTTGGACAGAGTGGATCGGCCCTAGGCGACACCAGGGCTACGGGGGGAGAGGGCCTCGCTTCTGCACAAGCAAACCCCCCCACGGATCCAGTCCCGCTTAGGCCAACTGACGAGGCGCAAATGAACGTCCTCGGCGGTCGTCCCATGGGCCAGGGCGACTCGGGCGGGGAGCTCAGGGAACTGATACCCGCAGGGAATGCTCACGAGGGCACAGGCAACAGGAATGGGCAAGTCCCTGCCCGCAGCCCTGGCCCGCTTCACGGAGGCTCACGCCAACCCACCGCCGAACCCCCCCCCTGGACGTGCCCGCGCTGAGTGAGGCCGTCCCCACGGTTGAGCTAAGCGGTGGAGCCAGGCCTTCCACCTGTGAAGCGCATCCCGACGCCGATGCAGCGTTCGACCGCTCCCATGGACCCGAGAGCGGCATGCATAATGCTGGAGAAGGGGGTGATGCAGGCATCCCTGAGATACACACAGATCTTGCGACCTTCCGTCGCTACCCTGGATCGGATGGCGGAAGGCTGGATGAGGCCCAAGGCGTTCGACCCAGGGATCAGTCGGATGTGGGAGTAAAGGCTATAGACCCTACCCCCACGGGGGTTGGGCGGGGGTGCGGTAGCTGTGTACACCCTAACGCTGCTGCCTTCAGTCGACCCACTGGAGTTGAGAGCGCTAGGCACGACGCTGGCGGAGGGGGTGAGGCTCTCTCCCCCGCGAGACACACAGAACGTGCGACCTTCCGTCGCTACCCTAGATCGGACGACGGCATACAGAGGGAGGCGCACGGCGTCCGACCCTGGGACCGTTGGCAGACGGAGGACATGACCTGTGACCCAGCCCCCACAGAGGCGGGACGGGAGAGCGTCGACAATATACACACTGATAGTGCGACCTTCCGTCGCTTCCCTGGAGCAGGCAACGGGCCTGGCCTTCCGCCAGAGGGAGTGGAGCGAGAGTCGGGGGTTCCCGACTCCAGTGATCGCAGGGAGACGCCTTCCTCCACAGGGATGATCGATCGCATCTTTCCCTCTCCGGGATCGGCGGATGGAAGGCCCGACGGGCCTCCTCGTTCGCCCCGCACCCCCAGGGTTGCTTCCGATCCCGCGGTCGGGGCCGCTCCTCATGTTGATCGGATCGGTCGGGCAAGGTCTCCGATCCCGGCGGCTGGATCTCCCCGTGCCTTTCCTCCCTCGTCCACCAGCTCTTCTCCCGACTTTTCCCCTCCCGACCCGCCCCCTGGGCTCGAGTTCCCTAACGCCGCGTTCGGTGGATGCCGCCGTGGACCTGACTATTCGTCACAGGACAGAGAGCGGGGGCCTCTCCTTTGGTCGGGCAGCGGCTCGCCCTTCGTGGTTAGCCACACGGCTCACGGGGGTTCCGTCCTCGCGGACCCCCCCTCCTATCCATCCCCAGACCTTGCCCTGGAGGACGAGTTGCGAATGGACAACCCGCCCACCCCCTCAGACCTTGACGACCCCAGCCAAACGCTGAGGAGCAGAGGGCAAAGCGCGGCGGACCTCCACGCCCGGTGGCTGGACGCCACTGGGCACACGAACGCTGTCTGGGCGGCCAGCCGGGAGGCGGACGGACCCATCTGCGGCCCACGCGTTGCGGACGCCAGGATTTCTGGCAGGGGGGGCACCATGAGGGCCCTACGTCGGCACCTTGTGCGCATTGATGGGCCGTGGCGCGAGGTTCCCAACCGCGGAGCGCCGAGAACATCGCGTGAGACCAGCAACCTAGAGCTCCTCATACACCACGCGTGGAGGGGGCACCGCCCAGGCCACCCAGGCATACGAGCCGACAGCCCCATGCGCGCGGCTCCCGTAGAACCAGCTCTCCTTGGACGTTGCTCGGAGCTCGCCACTTCAGCCCCGATTCTCGCTATCCTGGACCACACTTGGCTAGTATGGTCCATCACTGGAGGAGACTATGAGGGGCGTCTGGGAGGCGTTCAACCGGACCCAATACAGGTCCTTGCCTTCCGCTTTGCGAGCATTACTCATGATCCCAGCATACGAAGAGAAAGACTGGATGCAGCCGACCCCTCAGTGACTGAGAGACAGCTAGCACGGCTCGAGTACGTTGCCATGGCCGCCGCTGCACACTACTGCGACATAGGAATGGAGCTCCCGAGCGGTTTTGACACAGATAGGATGCTCATGCCCACCAGATCTCCCGAAGATGCTGTTCCCCTGCACAGCGGTGGCCCTAACCGAACAGACGGGACGCAGGACCCCGCGGATGAGGAGACCATAGAGTATGCGCTCAGAGTCCTAATTCATGAGCGCAGAAAAAATATATTCCACTTTTCGGACCATGGGGACGTCAGACAGTGGGCCATCACGAGAGGGATCCTCGAGCGAATGGGGAGTGACGTGCACTCGAGACGACAAGCAGGTAGAGGCCCAGTACCATGGGTAGAGCCCGCCCTCTTGGGGATACCCGCCAGCTCCACGGGCATCCCTGGAGTCCCCACCCAAGGAAGCGACAGCAGCGACAACGTGTGGCCATGGTCCACCACAGCTCACAGGCTGCGGCTGCGGGACTTCTTCTGCCCAGGAGAGAGATGCAATTTCTGTGGCACCTGGATGCTCCGAGACCCCTCAGGGCGAACCTGCATTACTTGCCACAGGCTGGCCAACCCCTGGAGTTACAACCCAGAGGGGCCGCGAGCAGACGCCTCTCCTCAGAGTCACCCAGGAGCAGGCCCTGGCCAGCCACCCAACAGGCACGCCCTCGACCTCCTGGACTCCGCTCTGCTGGCTCAGTTTGTCAAAGCGGGCATGCGTTACGCCCCAATCGCCGAGCACCTTTACTCCCCCACCCCGCCTGGCCCCTCCGACTTCACCCCAACTTGGCTCGTGGGTGAACTCCTGGGAGCCTGGAGGCATATGGTGGCCCACGCTGCAGGCCTACCTGAAATCTGGTCATACGAAGACTCAGGAGGCCTCGAAGGGGTCGGGAGCGATTGGCAACTCCGCACAGCAACGATCTCGCTGGCCCTACTTTGCTCAGCACCAGGCTCCTGGGCCCTAAATGTCTGCCAGAAAATTCGGCACGTCATTAGGACCTACCCCCATGGACGGCTCGATGGGTGGTTCCCTCCCCCTCTCTACCATGGCGGCCCAGACGCTCACCCACCAACACACTGGAGGCCCCCACTACCCAGCAGAACAACTACATCCGTCCCCATAGGACCGAACACCTTGGTGCATCTGGATGACCTCTGCTGGTTAAGGTACACCATCGGCGGGGATCACCTTG